TGTGCTCTCATGCATGAAGTCTTCACCTCTCTATCATGTGTAAGACATATATATGTGTGTGTATGACTGTGAGATGTTTTGAAGTCATCGATAGAGATGAAAATGAACTGTGCTTGACTAGGTGAGTAGGCTAAGGAGCAGCATGAAGAGGCTAAATGTATGACATGGGAGGAATAGATGGAAGTTTAAGGCAGTATATGAAAGTGGAGCACCTTGGCTGAAAGATGGAGAATAGATGAATTATGAAAGCATTGTGGTTTCCAGCCCACCTAGGAAAGACGGAGAGCAGATAATGGCTTTCACCAGGAAACAGTAATAGGGAAAAAGAGACTTGGGGAGGCAGGGGACTTTCTGAGGAAAGAGATGTGACCTTTACACTGTGATAGGTAGTTAGGATAAGAGAGGATCAAAGCAGTGCTGCGTATGTATGTATTGTGGGCACATATTAGTGCAAAGGCTGTCTCTGAGTGAATTTAAAGTCTTTAACTAGAGACGAAATTCAACACGTGAATGAGCTGCACCAAATGTGTGCAAAATAGTGACTCTGGAGGTGGAATATAGTAACAAGAGAGAGATGGATTTTACAAGCTGTGCAGAAGCTTTAATGGAGAGAACTGAGACTGATCCAGGTAATGGAGACATGAGGAAAGTATCTGACACACACACATTTTCCCCTTTCTGTATGAAGAAAAAGGAGAGGCATGGAAAGAAGGTCACTTACTTGACTTGATAATATCAAACCTCCTGCAAGGCCTCCAGCAGCCCTCTTGTACACAAACAGGTGTATGGGAATGAGGTTTGAAGAAAGAGCAAGTCCAACATTTGGGAGCTGTCTGCCTCATCCCATGTAGATTCACAGAAAACCTCACACAGAACATCACTGTGCTAAATACTTATGCTCAAGTGTTTTCCCACCCTTGTGGGTAGCCCTATGTGCCTGGTCATTCCCTAGAGATAAGCACAAATTGACTTCAAAAACACAGCAGAAGAGGAATGTTGTTACTATCCCTTTATTCAAACCACTTCCCATGGGATTTTCAATGGAAGAAAGCAGCTGACTGTGGGAAATTAAACATTGTGAAGCTATGAGCAGAATTTATTATGAGCTAATGCTATCACAGTAGAACAACACCTGAAAATGTCCCCAGGAGTCTTTTAATAATAATTTTTAAATGGATTTTTCTTTTGAAGGTGGACTAATGTACAGTGTCTGTGTATATGTATGTTATTATTAATCTATAGGAATTTAGCAGTAATTATCAACTTAAAAAAAAATCTATCAAAGACTAATTGGGTGTATTTTTGTTGGTTTCTACTGCCTATGAAAATGAAGTTCTGCATTTAAAATAGTGGTCTATGAATCATGGAAGCGTTTCTTTTTTAATTAAGGAGATATTAAATACTGATCCCCATTTTGCCAATGTGGTCAATTACTATATCACTGCTGGAATATTGTGGTGGTGCTCACCTATTTTTCAGAACACATTCATAATAATGAGCTGAATTTTTCTCTCAACATTAAATTGCTTTTAATGTGAAGCTAAATAGGAAATAAATACCATGAAGCCAAAGCTTATGTATTTACTTCTGCATAATGCTGTGCTCTCCAAACCTCTTCTCTTATTAAACCATAGATGATCTTAGTTTGGCTGAAATCTTTATATCAGTTTATGATATGAGATTACCAGAATGTTACCATTTTTTGAAGATATGGTATCTCCTCATTTTTCATAAATACTAATTAAACAACTCAGGCTTACGTCAGTGCCAAGATTCATGTCAGCAGTTAGTGCAACTTGTTATTGTAAGATTAGTTCTGACACATTCCTTCCAGCACAGCAAGCAGTGGGATCCTGTGCAACACTGGGAAAAATTCATCTCTCAAGAGACTGCCAGTAGTTATCCAATAGGAAGGAAGACTGCTTTCTTTAACAAGATTAAAAACTCTCTGCTGACATCCTCCCTAACTGAATCATCTCAAACTGTCTCACCACGCAGAAGGAATGAATGTATCACTCATCACCTAGTCTTCTCCCTTTACGACACTCTTAGGGCATTTGTATTATAACATCTATACACTGTGCCTGATACATGGTTGTGGGGCTGGTTTAAGGAGCATTCTCTGGTCTGGTCAGGGATCATTCATAACTGTAATAATTGGCAATGATTTCCTGACTACAAGAACACTGAAAGAAGCTTGCTCCTTTGAGCAATTTACTTGTTGTGAAAGAGATGCGAGGGAGAGAAATGACCTTATTCTGTTCAGCTGGCATGTACGCTGCTGATTCAAAGGCATTCACTGGGCTCTGCTTAAAGGGGTGCTGGTAGTGGTGTCTAAATGCTACTGTTTGAGTTAGATGAGATATCATTATTTCAGTGCCCAATAGAAAACTAAGTAGAGAAGATGAATGGAAAAGCTTAAAATACACTTTAAACTAAGCACACATAGTTTCAGAAAATACAAGGAATTTGCGAAGTAATGCCATCTCATGCAGCTTGCAGAATTCATAGCATAAACGTCCACACAGAAATGTTATGGCAGCATGCAAACACTGGTATTTTAAGAGCTGCATAAAATGTTGTGTCTCCTTAGTAGAACTTATCCTCAAAAGAATTGCTTGAATTGTTCAGATTCACAGGGGTTCTGTTACAATGCCTTTTGGGTACCATTTCATTTTAGTCTGAATGCTTGTGAAGTTGTGGAGTATGGTGACAGGGAGATACGGATAGACAATGCTTCAACGCAATACAGAGACCGCTTGCCCAGCAGTGCACTGTGAACCAGTATTCTGTCTTGTTTCACAACATGTTAAGACCCAGATTTTTCAGGACAGTGAAAGCATTTGTACTTCCAGTTGGCATATGCAGCTGCTATGAGTGTGTGCACAACTGTAATAAAATGTAAACTTAAGGGATGGAATACATGTGTAATTTGGGCCTGTGTGCCTAGAGTGAATAGTGTACTCACTCAAAATTGGACTTTAATATTGCAGTTCTGAAAACCAGTCTAGCCTGAAAACTTGGATCCTCACAAGAACTGAGGCATACATTAGCATTACTGCCTATGCTATTCACTTTTCTCTCAAATTTTTTTCCTTAATGAGGTACCATTTATTTTGAAAAGGCACTGAGCATCCACAATCAGAAAGTTATTAAACAGGTAAGCTTTCTTTATCCTCCTGTTTGCTGCACTGACGTGAAGTGAGTATGTGAAGCTTTGCTCTCAGTTTGGGTAGCTAATGATGAGTTTGGAACTCAGTATTATTCTGAAGAAGAAAATTATTATGATAGAAAGTGGTCTGACTGATCCAGGAGTCGCATCAGATTATACTACGTTAGAAAGTGCGTTTAAACCCTGTAATCTGTAATCAAGTGCTACTTGGAATCAAGTGTATCATTCAGATACTGTCTTGGGCCATGGGTCTAAATGCATATTGGAAAATAAGCAGTTAAGATCAAATGCGAGATATGTGTCTTCCAGGTGGTGTGTGTGTGATGCTGTTCTGAACATGCTAGTGCAATGAAAAGAGGTATCATAAGAGATGATAGAACAAATTTTAATTTCTGTCTTCATGATATACTGCACATCAAGTGGGAGAACAAGGCGTCTGTATAGAAAGCAAAGTTGTGAAGTGTGATAGCACTTTTGCTTTGTCACGCATGGTGCATAAATGATGGATTACTCCAAGCAGTGTCTTCTCTGAAGAACCTAAGCCTGCACAACTGCTAGTAGGCTGGGCAGGTATTGGGCTCAGATAGATGCATGAAAGCCTTGAGTTTTCTAAACATCCTGTACTGGAGGGTACTTCTTAGCAACAGCTCACGAAGGGAGCAGAGATACAGTGGTTCTGGCTGGGTGCATCAATCATCATCTTTGTTATTATCCATCCAAAATGGAGGGGTGTTGTGATAATCTCTGCTGGTTTTAAATCTGCAAGCGTGGAAGAAAGCTATATCACAGACAAGTCCTGTTTGTTTTGGGGATTTTTTTTTCTGAAAAATGCTGAAATCCTACACTAACTACAACTATTTTTAGGAAAGGTTTCAAATGTTATCATAAAGGGCACCTGCACCGTTTTGGGTTTTGTTTTCTTTTAAGGTAGAGAAAAATGATTTCAGTCTATTCTCAGCTAATACTAACACTCAAATCAAGAAATACTGCATTAGCAGATGTGGCGCTGCAACTGGAGACAAACTAACTGGGGACACATTTTTAAACTCTAAGAATTATCCAGAGATTTTCATTTGTTTGTTTCTTTGATTTATTTACTCTGAGATCTGCATATTGTAGCTTAGACAGCACATCTTTATGTGCAGAATAATATCCCAAGGGTATGGGAAGGAGAGTGCTCAGAAAGACTCTTATATCAAAGGAAAAGGGCATAAAAAGAGAAATTAGTCTCATTAATGTATAGTAAAGAGGTAGTAAAATTAATGATGACTCAGAAATTGCTGAGGTGAAGTCTGAAGTTTCTCTCTTCAAGCATTTTAGAGTTGTGAATGTACAAACATTTTGTGTAGGACATATGGAAGAAATGAAGCTTTTATTTCTACTTGCATAACTCAAAAACTGATACGTTTATAGCAAAATAAAAAAGAAAGGAAAAAGGAAATAGGAAAAAGGAAAGGAACAAAGCAAGTATGGCTGGGACCAAGCATGAAATGTTTACATTTACAATAAATAATTTGTTTTATTTTGTTAGAAAGTTTTAGAAGGAGTTGCAAGTAACTGGGAAGGGGAATCTGAATGAGAAGCAGATTGTCACCTTCACAGATAACTAACTACACATGGGCACAGATATAAGGTATTTGGTGCACGCAAGTTCCTCAATTTAAGCTTAAGAAGTATGACTTATTCTGTCCTTATGCTTAAATTAACTGCAGTTTCAAATACATAATGTACGTATGCTGTACGTATGCTGTAATACTAGGATGGTTCTTTTTAAAGTGTATACTACTGTTTATTCTGTTCACTGTTGACAGGTATGCAGACTGCTGACTGTTACTGAAAGCTGACAAAATAACTGGACTTCTACCGGAAAGAAATAATTAATTCTTTCCCCAAAGCAGAGATTGTTGTTAACTATTCCAGAACGGTAACTGTTAAAGCATCCACTCTCAGAGATACTCTAATGAAGACAGAAGGTTTATATAGGCTTGGCTAGTCCCCATGGTAACAGCCTTTCTACTGGGTTACCATAGGAATCGTCAAAGCCTTTGTAAGCCTCCCTTAATAGAGCATATACGCTTTCCAGGCAGACTGGAATATCTGTTAGAGGATACACCTCCTGTTGTTAAATATAAATATAAACAGATTTTGTTTTGGAGTGGTACTCATCTCTGTTTAACTAGCTACGCTACTCTTTACGTTAGAGTTATATTAAACATTGGAGTCACCTGTGATACAGGAAAACATGCGAGAACTGAATGGTTTTATGAACAAGACAACCCATATACGTTTGTACCTAGACTGCAGGGAACTGCAGGCAAAAATACTGTTCTATACAGTAGCCCAAACCTCATAGTACATTGCCCTTTCACCTTCCTGTGGACATTGCAGAGCTTTAGTCAGTCTGAAGCCTTGCTGGACTGAAGTTATACAACAGGAAACAAACAAGCAAGAAATGGAGCCAAAGGAAACAAACAGAAACCTCAGCTGAATGAAACAAGCAGAAAGCAAGCCAGTGAGTGACTTCAGCACTGTAAGTCTTTTAAGACAGCTATTGTTTTGAACTTCTAAATAATGTTTCTTGAAACTGTTACCTGGGCACAGTAGTAGTAGTTTCTTTTTCAACTAGTCAGGAATTGCAGTTTCACATCCTTGATCCTGGGCTTTGTAAGAACAGGGAAGTACAGTGGAGAATTGCAGGTTGTGAGGCAACCATGCACCTACTTGCTGGGCTTGTCACCACGGGCTTCATTTTATTCAGAAGACCTTTACAAATGAAAAATTTTCATGTAATTTTTGGTTCTGTTTAAGCTCCTAGGATTAGCACTGTGTTCTCCACACAGAGGAATGTCATTAATAAGATGACTTATTAAGGAAATCTAGCCAACATCTTTAGGGCTTGTTATTTTTCCAAACAAATGCTAGCTACAAGGCTTTCTACTGTAAAGCTGACAGCATGATAATGCTTTTATATTCTGCTTTCCAGTTGGCTAAATTTCATTATACAGTTTGGTCTTATAAATCAGTGAAGCTGAATTGAAGGACATGGTCTTACAGGATGACACTAGCAGACAATTTGGCCCTTGAGTTCCAGTTACCAAGATACCAGCTCCTACATATGTAAAGATCTCTACAAAAAGCCATGGGGACTACTTATATGCTTTGGTTTGGCATGTGCTTCCTTGTCCTTCCAGAGCAAGAATTCTGACTGGAGAAAACAAAGGTTTGGGAATTACCTGAAAATGTGTTTATTTTAAAATGGATAATTGGAATTGCAGACTTGAAAATTGCCATATATTGTGGTAAGCTTACACAGATGGTACGACAAGGCATACATCATGCATTATTCTTTTCCAGAGCTGGTAGAAAGGCAATTTATTTTTCCAAGGAAGATATTTGAATGAAGCCAGAAATGTCACTGATTTCACAAGTAACAGAGGTGCCATTATTAAGGTTGTTTTGGACACCCTAGGCCAAAGATGATCTCTCTAGTTACCCAAAAGCAGGCAGTAAAATATTGAGGATAGCAGTCATCCAGAAGCAATTTGTGAGATAGAGGTCTATTTACAGAGGATGAGAAAAAAGAGATTTGTAGAAGAGTTAATAAGGGTTTCTTCTGTGCATTGATAATTCAACAGCTGTTTTAACTGTCCTCTGCCAGTTATGAGTTGCTGTTGCATTAAAGTTGATCCCATATTTTTGGTTCCATTTTATGAGCTGACAGAAGTCACAAAGATGGTGTTTGGAGCAGCAAGAGAGGCAGGATCATGTAGGGTAGGGTGTAATAGTATGAGTGCTCTCCAATGTGCTCTCCCACTCAAAATGTGGAATGCTTACTATTTTTGGAGGTCTGACTTCCCTAGCTGTGCATTGTCTTGCCAGAGCGAATAGTTGCAGGACTACCTGAAATAAAGGTCTAAAAATAAAGGTATGACTAATTAATTGTATGATTCAATTAGTTATGTGTCCACCAAATGGAACAATGCAGCTTTAATTTCAGGCTTTTTATTCTTTGACCACAAGAACAAAAAATAAGATGTGGCACAGATAACATTCCTTAACTTACTATAGTTAATACAGCCTCTAAAAGGCCCTGTAAAAAAGGCTTTCCGTGCGAGCGCACTCAGGAGGTAAACTGCTCCTATTTGCCCCACTCTTTGCCACTGGGAAGTCCCTACAGGCTTAATGCTGCAACAACTATCACTGCAGCTTTTTGGAGGTGGGAAATCCACCAGTTTTGTGACTCACGTTTTGGGATTGCGTGTCTGCAGTTTTTCACACGTGCGTCAGGTTGTGAAGAAGCCATGGCACTCACTGTGGCCTATCAGTGAAGTGGCCAATATGTTTTGTATGTTTTTGTGTTTGTGTAAGAAATCACTCACAATCAAATTGTATTCTTGCACAAATCATGGCACTTGAACAATTTGCCTGGCCTGTGGGGCATACACCACACCTGATCCATTACTGAAGTACTGAAACGGGTAGAGTTGGGGTGAACATATTTGGCAATTTTATGGCAAGGGGACCTCATTCTAAACTTCATGTGTAGACTGTCTGCTGACAGATGCACTGCCTTTCTCAGGGCAAGAAACTGGGCATAGCATTTCTGTTCTGGAGGAACAGCTCTTTTCCAAAGGGTAATGTGGCATTCCTGGGTTGGAAGGAGGCAATGAGCAGGTGCCAGCACAGGGACAGTACTGTTCTGCTGCCCGTGTTGTGTGCTGTTGTCAGTAAATGATTCCTTCCATTTTCGCCACATGCCATGTGAGCTGTATGGACTGGTAGGATTTCATGTTTCTTCCCTGCTCCCCACCACCTCTCTTTTGCTTTGACGCTACTGTGAACTTACGGCCCTGTGCCGGCACCTCCTGTCCTCACTGACCTGACAGCATTGTGCAGCTGGCCCCAGCATCTACTGGACTGCAGAGGCACTGCGAAGCCACGTGTTACAGCACTAGAGGAACTTACTCCCTTTGCTTCTGTGCCTGCACACATCTCTTCAGACTGGTATGGCAGTGCCTTTTGCCATCTTAAAGCCTTTGTATTCTGCTGATGTTGGCTGGATAAGTCAGGCCTGAGCTGGTTTAATGTTCATGGGTACTTTTTAACTTGAGGGAGAATATGACTTAAACAAAAAAAAAACAAAAAACAAAAACCAGCTGAACATGATTATCTCCCTGTTTGGAAAAGCCTGGGTAACCATCCCTAGGGTAACAAGGAAAAGAGGTCACTGAAGAAATACTGCAACCTACAGCATGAATAGGAGGAGGACTGAGGTATCTGAAGCGTACGTAGGAGCTGTTGATGAGGAAAACTGAAGGCTTTTTCAAGGAAAGAGAAATTGTGTCAATGAATTCTGCCTGCTGCATCATACCTTTCTGAAAAAGCTAAAGCACTGCTGCAGGAAAAGGAGGAGGATACCAGCAGTTGCAACTTGCATGTGTAGGGGAAGTGATTAGCATTAGATGCAATTAAAGAAACTACATAGTGTTTTTCTTCTTGGAAGTGAAACATTAATGACAGGAATGAAGTGGAAAAGCAGGGAAGTAGCTTGTTTATAGGTTATAAAGCCTCAACAGATTTAACATGGGGAGAGCAAAGACTAACTGTCAAGAAAGAAGCACAGAACTGAGGGTTGAAGTGAAGGGAGGTCTAAGGTCTTTTTAGTTCATTCAGCTTTGTTTGTCTAAGATATTTCAGCAGCTGAACAGCCTTGAGTGCAAATGTGCATAAGTTTCTGATTTTTGTGGAAGTATCCATGTGAATACCCTCACTCATACACTTGATTGGGATGCATGCTTGAAATCAGTTAATACCTATTAACTCAGTTCCTTCACTCCGTTAATGCCTATTTATTAAAGTATTAAGAAATTACATGTATAAAATATGACGAAAGTAAAATGGATGTATGTGGTACGAGAGAAAGGGCAGCTAAGCTGTAGGCCAAGCTCTAGTGTAAAGAGGCAGAGTACTGCAGTGCCAAAGGAGCTGTTGAATGGAACTGTGCCAGGAAAGACAGTGGAGAATTCACCCTGTACTTACAAAGATGATCTTTCTTTCTGCCCACAGTTAGTCTGTTAACAGCTTTCAATATCACAGTAGGCATGAGGAAGAAATAATTTCAAACGACCCCAGAAATGCTGAGTTGAAAGCAAGGAAGTGAATGTTTATGAGAAACATTTATGAAAATGCTAACTTCTGGCAATGTAGGCATCCCTTTGAAGCTGAATGGGAGGGGTAGGGTTTAAAATCATAAGAAACCCCTTAAAAATTCATGCCAAGATACAGCTTAATGGGAGCAACACAGCACTGAAAAATATTCCTGAGAGTATTGGTTGCATCCTTGTTTCACATGTATAGGGTAAAATTAAAAAGCTGCTTAGTAGGAATGATAAAGAAGATATCATCTGAAAAATCTGCCTGCTCAAATCTGTCAGCACTTATTTATTTTATTATTAGTTGGTCAAATAATGAAGCCCTAGTGAAATATTTATTTTATTTTTTTCTTTTTTTCCCCCCCTATGCTGGACTCATTGACTGAGCAAGGGAAAATAAAATCAGAAATAACACCTTAAGGAAAAGAGTCTGCAGTCCAGGGACTAAATATGTGCGGACTGTATATATTTGTTGTCTATGGTGTGTATGATTTCTTTTCCAGAGGAGGAAAATTTTACTAAGAGCTAGAGAAGTTTCTGACATTGTCATTTCAACCTCTTTATTTTAACTCCCCCTCCCAAGTTTATAAACGTTGTTTTTTCTTCATTTTTCTATCCTAATACTGACACGTAGTGTTGGCATTGCAGAATGGGGGTTTAGGAGACAATGTTAGACAAAACAAGAATTTGTTATCCATTGTGAAGGCAATACAAAGAAGTTAAGACTGTTTAGCTCTCATATTTGGAAAAAGAGAAAAAAAAAGGCCTTACTCTTTTGAAAGACTTTGTAACTTTTCATGTACATAAGCACATAATTTTCCAGATGCATGCTTTTTTTGCCCTCAGCAGAACTGCTACATATCTGACTCTATGAGTCTGAGGATAGGCAGCAAAACCCCACCAAAGGTTACGTCTTGTAGCAATGGCTTTAAGTTATAACTTGTTACATGTTGTAAAAGATTTTCTGTGAATACTTATTTTTCTAACAGATTTAAGTTAAGCTTTTAACTTAAACTTTTTAGAGTTCTTGTGCATTCCAATATATCTTATTTTCTTGATACTTCATAACCTGTAACATCATTTGTGTACATGCCCCCCATACTCCTACTGCAAAGAGTTCTATTGAGATTCCCACCAGCAAGGAAGCTTTTAAAACTGATTTTTAGTTTTAATAGCTGGTTGTCATGGTTTAAACCCAGCCAGGTAACTCATTCACTCACTCCCCCCCTTCTTTCCCTCCCCCTACTCCCGGAGGGACGGAGAGGAGAATCGAAAAGAGTGCAACTCCCACAGGTTGAGATAAGAACAGTTTAGTAACTAAGGTATAACACAGATCACTACTGCTACCACCAACAATAATAACAATGATAAAGGAAATAACA